AAAAAAAAAAAAAAAAAAAAAAAAAAAAAAAAAAACCACAGTTTAGCTTTCCAATTTATGTGAAAAAGGAGGTAAGCCTTTGGGAGGGCCAAATCTGCAAGTTAAAAGACATGAAAGTGAAGAAAGTGAAATCTTGGAAGATTGACCAACCTACTACATTGCTGACAAAACCTTTGTTCAATGCCGTTGACTATAACTTTGGAAGTTTTGGAGTGAACCTCACAAACTTTGTGCCTCTTGTGGTAGTCTTTGCAACCACTCAGATCCTTGTTACAGCCATAGACTTGACAATAAGCAGTCTGAGAATGGACCCCAGAAGCTCTCACCCTTTTCTGTGGTGTAGAGGACTCAGATGAAGACAAAGTGGGGGCTCCCTTGGAAAATGTTGGAACCATGGCATCTCCATGGTCACCAAACCTACCCAGCTTCAAATCAATGAGTGAATTGGCACCATTAGAGTCCCCAAGAGAGTTTGAAAGCTTGGAATTGAAGTCCCCCCTTGCAGAAAATGCATTTGGGGCAGCCACAACGGGACTAGGACTAGTGACTCTGCAGTCAACAACAACATCATCCACCTTTCTAATAGGATCACCAAACAATTGCTTATTACCCAACATTCCTGGAAAACCCAACTCCTCAAAACCTTGATCCTGAACATTTTGCTGACCCAAAGCCAACATGTCATTGGAAAAACTACATGGGGTCTTCAGCTCCCAACCCAAAAAGGAACCTTTGCTTCTCCCAAGTGTGTTGGGAGATGAGAGTGCTCCATTGGAGACATACCCTTTCTCCTCACCAACAAAGCTCCAAGACTCCATCACTTGCACACACAAGAAAGGATCAGAGAAACCATATAACCCCACTTCAAGAGTGTCTCAAAAGCATCAGAATGTCAATTTGCACACACAGCTTCAGGTTAACAAAGAGGAACCATCTAAAAGTCTTCAAAAAGGGCACTGTGCAGGGTGCAAGTTACATGAGAGCCACAACAAGGAAAAGATGGAAAAGCAAACACAAAAGTTGTTTCAAAAAAAGTTTCTTAATTGATGAGAAACCAAATAAGTTTAAACCCCAAAACCAAAAGAGAGAGAGAGAAAAAAAAAAAAAAAAAGATAAGAAGTTAAAAAGAACATGAAGAGGAGGTACCCGGACAGCAAAGAAACTACAAAAATGTCAGAACCCCACGTGATATGAATCCAGAAACACGGTGGTAACAGGTTAATATGCTGAATGCAAAGAGTGTGTCAGCTCAAGCAGAGAACTGAATGGAGGCAAAAACACAATCCAGATAATAAATGGGAAAAGCCATTCAGTCACTTGGAAAAGGATGACTATAAAAGTTGCTTGAATCATGAGAGAGAGAGAGAGAAAGAGACCCACTTTACCACTGTACTTGAACCAGTGGAGCAGTGGAATGAGGCTGAGGCTGATGCAACTCAAAGCCAAGGAAATTCAATAAACTATTAATTTCATACAAGAAATATCACTTTTTACTAAATTGATTTTTAATAACTCCATAATTATCCACTCTATTGTCAAAACGATTTATGCAGCAAAAATAATTGTATTCAGCCTTTTGTCCGTGTAAAAACTCATCAATATTAGTCACATTATTGCTAGTAACATTATTGCAAGTATAAATCTCTCTTGTATGAAAAAACTGTTAAGTCAATAATAATTATAGTATTACCGATTGAAATTAGGTTTTTATCAGTTGGTAATACTGGTAGAACAAAAAAAAGATTTTTAATTATTGAAATTATATATGTAAATCTGAAAATATTATAGATTAAGTGAAGCTAAAATAATCACTTACATAAGGTCTCAAATTTAAATAAGTAAAAACAATTGTTAGAAAAAGCTTTACTAAACAAATCAACTAATTTTTTATTAAAAAAATTAATCATTAATAGAATTAATGGATACTTTGAGAAGTACTTTAACTAGTAGAGCACCGGAATAAGCCAATGAAATTCAATAATTATTTTTTATATATTTGGTTGCAAAAATATTAGATCAAAGGAAGATATAATTTCATATGAGATTAAAATTAATTATCAATCTCTTTGAAAATTTTCAGTAAAATCATCTATTTATCTCTAATACAAATTCATGAAAAAAATATAAAATATAAAAAAGTTAGATTCGATTATATATTGTAAATAGTAAAAATGAAAGGATTTAACCAGTTATATCGTGAGATTAATAAATAAATTTTTAATATGATCACTAAAATATCACTATTTTTTAAATAAATTTTAAATTATTAAAATTATATAATATTGTTAAAATATTATAAAAAAAAAAAGTTATGTTCTTATCTAAGTCTGAGGAACTTTGCAAAGAGGATTTTACTTTATACAGCATATATGTGTGATGAGGATCGGATTGATGTGAGACATAGGAAGGAAATATACATGTTACGAAAAATTCTGGATTCTTCGAAACTATCATCCGAAATATATTCCTCTGAAATATATTCCGAACCTTTAAAAAAAAGTTTTAACTATAAAATATAAAATTAAATAATTATTTTATATTAAATTTATTTTAAAATATTAATATTTTAAGATTCAGACACTGTTTTAATTCATTTTTCTAAGTGTGTAGCATTTCTCTAATACAAAGAAAAAGAAAATCCTTCTGTTGAAATAAATGAAAACATGTGATGAGTGGTTCACCATATTCTGATGTAAATAAAGCCTTTTTTGATGCAAAATGAGTGGTTTAATATCTGACTACTGTAGTTGGTAGTTGGCGTCATTTTCTTTTAATTCTTAAGCAAATTATTGCTCTCGTTGACTCAAAAGTTGTGACAAGGTGTGATTCAGTTACTGTTTTTTAATTGTACCATAAAACTTTGAATTTTCTGTGGTCATGACCGTGCCATGAGATGTTTGGGTAATCGAGTACCATGATTAGGGTATATTTGACATAGCATTCCTTAAAAATTATTTTGATATTAAAGTTTTAAATAAAATTTTTAAAACAAAATAAAAAGATAAATTTTATATACTTGTTAATTTTGAAAGATATGAAGTTCAAAACAATTTAACTCTTAATTTAATGATAAAAACACATAAAATTATATTTTTAATGATAAAGTTTAGTGATTCTTATGTACTACAGATTGTCTTAATTATTCATCATCATAACTCATTTTTGTTAAAATTTTTTTTTTTTAATATTTAATATGAGTTTTATATATTATTTGTAGCATTTATATTAGTTATTTACATTTAATTATATTTAATAAAAGTGATCTAATTTTAGTGAATTTTTATATTATTAATAAGAAAAATTGATATGGGTCTAATAAGTAGAAATTGAATTTAGACCGTTAGGAGTTAATGAAAATATTAATCGACTTAAAATTGTAAAGTTGGTCATGATTTTCAATATGTCAAATTAGAAGAACATCTCTCTCCATCACAAAAGAGACGTCTAGTATCATTTATGAAAAGCAATGATTTAAGCCTATTTTGCTATAACCTCTAGTCAACGTCAATGGATTCATGTATAATTTAAACTAACGAATCTTGAAAATCTAACACGATATATATTGTTTACTATTTGGTAATTTTCAAAATTATAACAATTGATATTAAAGTTGTCATTGTTATTAGATTATTAGGAATTAAAGTTTTTTTTTATGGATCCAGATTGGTTTATTGGTTGAACCCTACATTTTAATTTGGATCAATCTTTGATTAATTAAAAAATTATCATGCTTGATATATGGTTTGTTCTTTAACATTGTAATTACATGAAGACATGTTTGATCGCTATAATATCGTGAAAACATGTTAATTTCATACATTTTAGATACTTTTGATGTAACTTGTGTTTTCATTGATTGATGAATATAATTGTCATATTTACACGTATATGGCTTTTGTCACATTACTTGAATGCTAAAGTTTCTTTTAAGAGACTTTTAGGAATTAAAAAATATATTTATAGTTTTGTTGTGGATTTTGTGATAGCATTAGGGCATGTTTATTATTTTGTCATCATAATACTAATGAATACTCACTACTATTATGTTTAAAAACAAATTTAGTAATTATGGATCTTCCCTATTTATTTGTATGTCTAGTAATTTTTTAATTAAATTAGTTGATACAGTATGTGTGACACCCTCTACCCCAACATACATATACAGTAATTATAAAAATAAAATTCTTCATCATTAAAAACCAAATCTCCAACCACATAAGGGTAAAGAGTTCACATTCATAAACTTAATTCAAATAACATGTCAGTGAAATTACAAAGAAATAAAACTGAGTTTTCAAATAGTTTAATGGAAATAACATCCTAAACTAAGCCTAGCTATGCCCCAATGTCACATATCCTATCAGAGCATGCCCAACTGAAGTCTAAGCCTCATCACCAACATCCTCATGTTGATGATCACCTGCAACATAATTTAAACACATACAAAGAACAACAAGGGAGTGAGAAACATCTCACTTAGTTCCAGGTGTAGAAATAACAGTTAGGCAACACACACAAAAATCATACAAGCACAATCATAGCTACTCATTAATCAGGTGCAAATTAAAATTTCACATATAACAATAACACATACACAGTCATTCATCATGAAATGATGTCATGGACTCGACTCATAGATGCATGCATGTGGCGCCAGTCACGTGTCTCATCATCATATATCACTGGTGTGTTGCCTAAACAACACACCTAGGTAGTCTAGGAGTACATGTAGGGAGCTACCCATATACTCTCAACTAGAAGGATGTACTGCTAGGGTCTGGTCGGGATAGTGAAGCTGCGCAAGTTACGTCTCGTGCTAACAAACAGGCGGAATCGAGACATCCAAACCGCACTATCCCCCTAGGACTCCCCCAAGTTGTTACACAAGGAGGGCCTTCCCTAACGGTGTACTTCACATCGTACCCTTCACATAGATGCATATGATGCATGTCACACATTCACAAACTCATGGAGTCATCACTTTACTTGTCATGGCATTTCATGTCTTATCTCATTTCATCACGGTTCACATTCTCATAGTCATAGTGCTCACAATAGCATGTCATTCACATCATGTCATTTGTTCATATTTCACATAGTCATACTTATAAGATTATCATTTGGAGATTCTTATCATCATCATGTCATATTCACTTTTCACATTGCCTCATAATCATATTCATAATTGTTCCTCATAGGGTATCGCACACAAAACACTCTAATTCATATCAAAACATGTTCAAATTCAAAATTAAATATACTTTCATGCTCAACATTTAGCATGGAACACAATAGAATACTTAGAAGTCAAAACAGAAAACATCTAAAATCTGCCTGTTTCTCATAGGTTTCCCATAGGAACCCATAGAGCACTCCAATTCATATCAAAACTTATCTATTTTCAAAATTAATAACATATTCATACATCACATCCAATAAGGAACACAATAGAACAATCAGAAAGTAAAATAGAAAATATTCATATTTTATCTGTTCCTAGAAGCATGCATCAGCCAAAGTGTTTGTAGACACCCAATTTCATCCGGGGGCATACAAACAAGGAAATGGACTTCCATTATCGAAGGAAAGAAGCTCCCGATGCATGGAAACAACAGGACATGACACAAGAAAGCCAAAAGCCCAAATAAGCTGGTTTTAGTAGCCTGGAACGGGCTGTTCCAAAATCAGAACAGGTCGTTCCCAAACTAGAACGGGCCATTCCAATTTACAAAAAGGGCATAAAACCCTAGTTTGGAACAGGCCGTTCCAAGCTCCTAAAAAAGGCTAAAACCTAAGTCTAGAACAGGTTGTTTCTAAACTGGAACGGGCTGTTCCAAGTTACAAAAAAGCCCAAAATCTAAGTTTGGAACAGGCCATTCCAGCATAGGCAGTTATGTGTTAAACTCACCTCTGGAACGAGCCGTTCTAGTTTAAGAACAGGTCGTTCTAGTTACAAAATTAACACAAAACAGTTGGATCTAGAACGGACTGTTCCGATATTGGAACGGGTCGTTCTAGAAACTTTTTGACGTCTATAAATAGACAACTCGGGCACAGTTCTCAAGGCTACAAAATTTTGTCCAAAACTCCTTAGAGCTCGAAATTTCTCTTTCTCTCCCTCTTATTGTATTTCTTGAGTTTTGTGAGGCTTATTGTAGTGTGAAAGGTTGCCATAAAGTACCTAAAAATCTCCATATTTGAAGATTCAATAGAAGATCGTTCAAGAGGTATTTTAGTCAATTTTCTTCTCTCTCTTTTATTTCTTATCTTTGATAAACATTGTTATAATAAAAGCAATCATGTAAACATTTTAGAGTCAATTGTGTAATTTAAATTTATAGCATGTAAATAAATATTAATAAAGGGGATCTAATATTTAATTTATTAATTCTTATCACATTAACTTCATCATAGGGTACCGATTGAGGATTT